CGATTGTCTTCAAATCTTTTTATATATATACATATATATATTTATTTATTTCTTTATTCAATTAGATATGACATATTTCTGTTCTAATCAATTATATATTCACTTCATCTTTAAATAGAAATATATATCTATATATATATCTATATCTATATATATGTCTATATATATAGATATTTTGTGAAGAAACATCGTAATATATTTTCTTTTTTCTTTTCTATATTGCAGGAGCCCTGATGTAGTATTTTGTCCATTGAAGTCAGTGAATAGTTTTTTAGAATAGAATTTTTGAACATTAAGTTGGGCTTGCCTTTGGGACTCAGGTAGGTAAAGGGGAGGGAGACCGGATAATTAAGGGTACTTTCACATATGGAGCATTTAGTCCATTTGAAATGAACCCTGGTGTGTTTTCCCCCTTGATGTGGCCTATTTAGGCAGTTGAGTACACAGCAGACACAATTGAACCAAAACAACAAGTCAGAGCGTGTCCGTGAGGTGCTCACAGTCCGGTTTCAAATGCAGTTCCACTGCAGTGGGAGAGCGATTTGACCCTGAACTGACCCAACTGCAGGAAGTGAACTGGACATGCCGTGTATTTTGGTTTGCGGGCAACATTTTTTGTAGATGTGAGCTGCTAAACTGAGCTGTGAGGTGCAAACTGAGCCAAAGGACAGAGCTGTAGAGCTGCAAAAATGCTATGAGTTCTAGATAATTGATCCAATGTAATTAAAAAAAATCATAATAAAAAAAAGATAGATAGATAGATAGATAGAGAAAGAAATTAAATGCTGGATGTGATTCACAAAATGTTTTAAAACTAGTTATTTATATAATTATCTAATCATTTATTTAGCACTTGTACCATGTTCTCCATTCTCAGGTGATTTTTGTGTTTTTTTTACATGCACTTGGCAATTCCATTGCTGTATTTTGGATCAGTGAATGAAAGAGATTTACCAGTACGTTTTCAGTTCCACATGCCCATCAGCCAATGTTTTTTTTTTTTTTTTTTGCTGTTTTTTGTTTTTTACTTTTTGGTTTGTTTAATTTTGTGCAGTGTGAAACTTGTCTTGTACAAGGTTTGGTTGGTGTTTAAAGGACATGAGAAAGAGAAGCATTATCGCTTCTTTCCTTGCAGTTTGCCTCCACCTTTCACTGCATTCATCCCTACACTAACAAAAGCTAGTGTCTCTATCACTGTAGACATGGGCCAATACTGCCCTCTGGTGGCAGAACAAACAAGTACTAACTGCAGAAAAGCTAACTGGCATCAGCAGATATCTTGCCATTACATACACTTGCCATTCTCTCTATTTCTGATCCCTCATACTTAAATTCTTGACACACCTATGCTCTGTCCATCCATAAAAAGCTGTGAGATGTTTACATGGGGGTTGAATCAAGCACAGAAAACAGACATCAGAACAGAAGCCATCCTTACATATTCATAGTTAAGGGATATAGAGCATTGGGGGAACAGGTGGCACAGAAAAAAACACCTATAGTACTGTATTAACTCTGGACACAAATAAGCACTGCAAGTGTTAATTAATTTGCTGCATGGTAGGTCTGTCCACCTCTTGAACTCACTGTTTTTAATTTATTAGTTGTCCATTTTCTATCGCTTGACAGTAAGTGCTATAACTCAATATTGAAGCAGAGCAGAATACAGGGAAAAGCTTTACACCCCTATTTGTTTTTTCTTCTGTCCCCAAAGATCCAACCCAAATGTTTGGGCCTTCTGATGATGTGTGCCTATAACATGTGTACATATATACTTACATATATAAACACACATGCACGCTCAGACAGACCCACATGCGAAGGCCTGAGAAAAGTCTAGAAATTTAAAATAAATAAATAAATAAATAAATAAACAATGGGAAAAAAAATCCATCCTCCGTGAAATGGCTCCAGTTTTTCTTTTTCAGTTTTGTTTTTAAAATAGTCATTAACACTTTGTACTGTGTTTATCAGCTGTATGAAAAAAATCCAAATACTTAACTTTATCAGCATACGCCACGATCACGGACTTGTCCAGACCAGCCTGACTAGGAAGGGAAAAAAGACACCAAGCCTGCTTTTCTTTTATGCATAAGCACTTCCGAGGCAATGCATCGCAATATGCTTATTCGTTTGCAAGAGACATAAAAAAGAAACATATTTATCTCCTTAAAAACATCTAGACATATTAGTGTGAAACAATATATATTTTAAAACTGTTGAATTTTCCTACTCTCAGGTAGTCAAATTAACAAGTGCACATCAAATGTAATTTGTGCATAAGGTCCAAGGTGTCTTCAGTGGAAAAATAAATCAAAGTGAACAAAAAGGAGAAAAGAGAAAAAAATATAGGTTTGGCATAGTAAAATTGAAGACAGATGGCCAAAGGATGAATATATTATGTGAAAAAGAGGGGGGAAAGAACAAATAGAGAAAAATAGGTTAGGGTGGAAATGGGAGCAAGGGAGAGAAAGAAAGAACAAGAGGGACAGTACGAAAGAGACCCCTGTGGTGGATAAGTCCAGTCAGTGCACAGTTCATTCACCACCTTGTGCCAGGCAGACACCAAATGTATCTCAATGTATGCAATTATATATGTTTTTATGTGTGTGGAGGAGGGAGAACAGTGCCTACACCAGTGTGTAGGACTTTGAATACGCCCCAGCACTCTGCTTCTGCAGTCTGCCCAATCCAGATGAGCTGCTCTCCAGCAGAGAGTCTCTTGAACCACCAACCTTGGAGCTGCTGCTCACGCCACCTCCCCCTGTGGAACCAGAACTGGCAACAGCACCAGCTGCAGCTCCAGCAGCTCCAGTGCTTTGGCCGGCTGAGGAGGTGGAGGAGGAGCTGGGCATGGTAAGAGTCCTCTGGGGCAATGTGGATGTGCCCGAGCTGATGCTGGAGCCACCTGTGGTGGTGCTGGAGGCTGGCCCTGATGCTCCTGAGCTGGTTAGGCTACTTAAGCCACCGTGGCTGAGCGTCAGGGCCTGCTGTTTGGATGGGTCTAATGTCATGTGGCGGCCCTGTGTGTGGTAGGCACGAGCCGCCAAACTTCGAATAGAAGCTTCACGTGGCGGCACCACTGGGCATGGGTCATGCAGCTCAGCTTGTTTGCGGAAGAATGGCTCTGTCTTCATATAAAGGGGGAGATTACAGTACTCACCTGGGCAAAGAGAGAAAACAAAGTCAAAAGTAAAAATCATTATCTGAATAGCATACCTTTAAAGAACTATCTCATTGCAGTGGAAACCTTTTCTTGTTCTGTAAATCCAAATGTACGTGGATTCACAAAACCTCTTGAATGAATATTTCACATAAAAACACAATAATTTAAAGCTCCAGTTTCCCATGAACGCTAATTGAACAAACCTATACTTTATGTCCCTACTTCCTTTTATTCACTATTAGTCATGTTTACATAGAACATGCAAAGAAAGATGCACTAGCACAACTCTGGTAGGAACTCACTCTTGTTGGCACGGTGTGGAATTGGCACCGCTACATTCTTGCCACGGTCATAGTCCTGTGGTTTTGGTGGAGATGCTGTGAAGCGGCAGATGCCTGGCTCGGATGGCGTGCTCATTGATGTCATGCTGTCAGCATTTTCATTGGTACCTGTGGTCATCTGGTCCGAAGAACTGTCTGAAATGAAGCACTCTGTAATCTCAAACTTAGCGTGCTGCAGGTGCTCTTCCAGCTTGGCGTGCTCGTAAGCGCGAGCCAGTTCCTCATATGTAGAGGAAGCACTCTCTGTGGAAACCATGCTGTTACGGCCCTTGTCTGAGACATAAGGCAGAGTTGCCAGGGGGAAGACACAAAATGATTAACAGCTATTTTAATGATGCTGGAGGTGAATAAATAGAATCCAATTTGATTCTAACTTAAAGGTTAAAATTTTAAATATACAAATATTAAAAATGACTAGTCAGTCAGCTTGGTATTGAAATTTAGTTTCTTAAGTTTTGCACTGGAGACACAAGACTAATAAAGTAATCTAAGCATATAACTACCAGCATAAAGCATAAAGAAAACTGAAATCATTAGACACAAGCCTAAAAAACCCTAGTAAAAATAAATTCACTAATTCTTTTATAATTACTTTACTGTGAACAACACTTACAGCTCAAATGTAGTTTAATTTTATAAAACACATTAACTACTTGCTTTTAAGTATCTAACAAAATTTAAATAAGTACATCAATCCCCCAACCCCACCTATTCTCTCCCTGGTTTGGTAACATGTCGATTACCACCCACCAGCCAGTTCTGCCCTGTCACATGACAACTACCCACCAGGAAGGGTGAAGGCTAACACATGCTTCCTCTGACACAAGTGAGGTCAGTCAACCACATCTTTTCAAACTGCTGCTTATGCTGCATCACAGTGTAACACAGTGTCAGTGTAACACATGATGAAAGAGCTATCTTCCACATACACGAGCTGACAGACACCTATGGTTTGGATTGACAGGGAAGAGGATGCTATCCCTCCCACCCTGAGAGCATAGCCAATTTTGCTCCCTAGGTTCCTGGCCACAGATGCCTGTGGCATCGTTGAGTACTTTTAAAGATTATAATATTATATATGAATTATAAAATATATTTTTAAAATGCTTATAGGTACTATATTATAAAATATTTAATTTAGTTAAAATTAAACATTAAAACAATTATTTTATTTAGATTTGATATTTCCATATATTTGCAGATTACTGCCTGTGCAGAATTGACCATATTCTCCCTCATGGCATTCCTCCGGCCTCTCTGTTTTAATCCCACCTCCCAAAGACATACCGGTAAGTGGCTTGATAACAATAAATTGCCCCTAGGTGTAAATAAATATGGGAATGTGTGTGTGCATGGTGTCCTGTGATGGTGCTTCCTCCCTGCCCTCCCCATGTCCAGGATGAAATAATGAATTTTCATAACTTTATAACTGACCCAAGGCTGTGTCTTTAAAGGTAATGTGATTTTTCTTAGAAGAATAATTTTAGTATGGAGCAGTGGTGGCTCAGCGGTTAAGGTGCTGGGTCACTGATCAGAAGGTCAAGGGTTCAAGCCCCAGCACTGCAAAGCTGCCACTGTTGGGCCCTTGAGCAAGGTCCTTAACCCTCTCTGCTCCAGGGGAGCTGTATCATGTCTGACCCTGCGCTCTGACCCCAGCTTCCTAACAAGCTGGGATATGCGAAGAGAAGGATTTCACTGTGCTGTAATGTATATGTGACAAATAATAAAGGCTGCTTCTTCTAGTAATAAGCTCTAATAATTTCCTTGTCTATTCTTCTAGTATGTGACTTTTTCTGTGTCCACTTTGTATGTACTTTATGCTTGGCAAGAGTTTATTGCTAAGCATATGTTCTTAAGCTGTAAGTGCATGTATCTTAGTAAAATGTTCTGAAAATAGTTATTCCTTTTTGACAGCATTGTTCTTTCAAGTTTGAAAGCTAAGATGTGACATATTTGTAGCACTGAATATCCTAATAGTAACATGCTATGGGAAATTGTATGGTATGCTTTTTTTGTGATTTAAATAAATTAAAGAAACAGATTAATGTACTGTAACAGAAGTACATTTATCTTATCTTCATTTTAGATAATGAAGTAACTTTCATGTAAAGGTGTTGTTTGTACTATTTCATACTAATCAAAATATATACTATATTAAAAAATAAATGTAGTATATGTAAAGAGTACAAAAGTATACTTTAAAAGGTTCCAGTTTAGCATGGTTAAGTGCACTTAACACAAAGTTGGGCTTCAGTCATTCCATTATAGCACACAAATGTAAATTAAATGTAACCTTTTCCCCAAGCAAACATAGTGTTTTTAAATAATTTCAAATAAACCTCCTTTCTTTGAATAGTGTTATCTGAGAATGAAGAACAATTCAATATATGACCAAAACTGTAGTAGCTGACATTTTAAACCTTTTTATATGGAATAACAATTTTCCAACCTATTCAGCTATTTGTTGTATGCTCAAATGGTACGACTTATCAAAGGTTTGAGACAAGTATGTGAAGATTTTGGCAGACAGTTTTCATGAAATCAGTTTAAGCTTGAGTTGTTAGAACCATTCTTTTTTACTGTGGCTACATTCACAGTATGTAAATGTTTGTTTACCTGTGTCCTGGGACAGACTGGCACTATAACTGTCACTCTCTGTTACAGTGATACCATGCTGGGAGCCGACGGTGCGCCAGTCAGAGGTAAGGGTGCGGGCAGGTGTGGATGCCTGGCACTTTGTCAGGGTCCACTGGCTTGAGTAACGGTTCCTTGTACTGTGAGCTGACTTAACACTCTTCCTTGACACTGGATCTGGGAATAGAACAAGGATATAGGAAAATGGTGAAAATGTGTATATTTGAAATAAAGCCCATTTTGAATAACTATGTTATTGCATCAACAATATCTTGAGTAAAACAAGGAACTTACTGGTTCCTGGTCTAATATCAGACATGTCAATTAAGGGGCCAGTGTTCTGAATGAGAGCAGGATGATGCACAGACACGCCTGTGCAGAAGCTCTGGGGGTTTACTGATTGGCTGAACTCTGTGTCTGTCACCGGAATGGTGGCTTTGTCTTCACCTAAATACACATGATAGAAGATACTCAGATAATTCAACCAAAATCATGCAAATAGACATGGCTGTAATATACACACATAGATTAAACAATGAAATGACAGACCAATCTGCTTGATGCCCTCTTTATCTTCAATAAGCAGTTGTACACGTGGTATATCTATGTGCAGCCGTGGCCCCTGGGGTGGGCCCTTTACTGGGGTGTCAAAACTGCGATTGTTCTTACTGCTCCAGGTGTTAAATGTACATACACACACACACATACACACACACACACACAAATAAATAAATAAATACACACAAAGACAAATAAGTATTAATCCTGCTTTTGGCCAGATTATGATCATGCTGGAGCACTGATTCTTACCTGATCAACATTTCAGCCAAACTCTTAGCATCTGAAGAAGCACATAGAAAAACAGATTATATTTCAGATATTTATTCTGGATATCAAATACATTTCTTATTTAATCCTAAATGTTCCTCTATCTGCTGTTCTCAACTACTTCCATGTATCTATACTTCACTCCTTTCATCAAACTCTTCCTCACCCCGAAGTCTCTTCAGCCTCTTCTCTTTGCGTTTCTTTCGAATGATGAAGAGGAGGGCCATGCCCAATGTAACTAGAATGACAGGACAGCCAATGGAGAACAGCTTTTTTACATCATCGCCTTCCCCACGTGCAGACTTGATTGGGGGAATGGTACCTTTGCAAAAACAAAAAAAAAAAGAAATTATCTTGAAGATCTGGTTCTTAATAAAGAATGTGTTGAGATTTAAGATTGCAGCGTTTATGTTATGTCAGTGTTATTTTCTGATAAATCTAGCCTTCTTTCAATGCTGTTAAAAGAAGGCTTGAACACCAGAGGTGGGTTGGGACTACACCCTGGATGAGATGCCAATCCATCACAGGGGACCATGCACACACACTTATTCACACCTAAAAAGCAGTAACATGCGCAATTTCAGACTACTCTCAAATAATCATGCTCCAGCCCATGCAATATCAGAATCAGAATCAGTATCACATAATTGTAAAAAATGATTCTGATTGGCCAACTCACTGCCATCGTAGTCTAGTGTGGCAAACTGGGAGGTCTGGTTGCCACAGCCAGCACTGTTGCAGGCCTTCATCTTCAGCTCATACCAGGTGGCTTCACGCAACTCAGCCAGGAAGACATCGGTTGTGCCATTGGTGCGTATGCTTTGCCAGGCATAGCTGCCTTTGGGCCGGAAGTCAAGCAGCACAGCATTGATGGGGCAGCCACCACTGCTCCAGCCCTGCAGATTAAGCCGAGCATGGGTGGAGTTGATGTGGGTGAACAGGGGCTGGTCCTTGTTGAACTGGGGCTCTGTAGGGGGTACAGGGAAGGATTTGGATCTCAAGGTTTTGTGTTGCTTAATAAGGAATGTGCGGAACTGTCTATATGAGAAGAAAACTTATACAGACTCTTCAGTCTAAAAAATTGTGCTTTCTTACCTCTGCCATGAGTCTTCGCCTCAATGATTTCACTTATCCTACCAGCTCCCACGCTGTTCTTGGCAGCTAGCTTGACCTTATACCAGGTGCCACAGCGGAGGTTATCCAACTTGAAAGAGCGCTCAGTGGAGCTAATGAACACATCTCTCCACTCTTCCGTATTATCCACAGAGTACTGCAGCACAAAGCCTGCAAACACAACCAAACATAAAAGTCATCTCAAACACACACAAACATAAAGGTAAACTCATAAAGGTGAGTTTACAACTAATGACTATGACTAGTACACTTACATACACAACTTTTATATATTTAAAATGATGGTGATCATGAAAAGCTAAAATCAAGGAAAATGGGCCAGGGAGTATTAGCTAGCACCTTGCACCCTGGAATGAGTTTTGTTGTGGCAGAGTTGCCTTCTCACCACTAGAGGGTGCAGATATTTCAAAGATCATGAGTTTCAATCTGAAAAACTCGAGGAAGAGAGAAAAAAGCTGCTGTCGGGACACTTACACCAACAGGGACACAACAGTCATTAGTTTGGTTTTGGTGTTTACATGTGATATGACAATTTTGTAGACCAAGACACACACATCCCTTCTTACACACACACACGCCCACTGTAGATAAGTCATCTATATGAACACTTTTTATGAGATATCAACAGAGGTATTTTTATTAGTAACTAGGCTGCAAGCAGACAAACCAGAACTGAGATTATTCCAATTCCTAAGAGGAATGCATATACAAGGGAGATGCAAAGAAGTGTAAAGCATGGTTGATCGGAAAGAAAGGTCCTTATTAAGTGAACACAAGCACATAAAAGCATAAGCATCCTAAGCTACAGAAACCTGACAGGATGAATAGAAAAGGTGGGGAATACACACATGCTCACTTGCTTAGACAAAAGAAAGTGGGGAAAGCAGTATATAAACATGTAAATAGACTCAGTGAACAGTGACAGTTGGACAAAGGAAGCCAAGTGGCCCAAATATGGCACACTGAGAGGATGAGACTGAAAGAGGCAAGGGAGAGGTTGTGCAAGAGTGGTGATCAAGAAAGAAGAGTAAAAATGAAGAAGAAAAAAATCATTTGATTGAGTAAACAACAGAAAAAAGGGAGTTGTACCTCTGATGGAGCTTCCTCCATTGTCTCCAGGGATCCAGGCCAGAGTAATAGAGGAGGTTGAGGTGGTGGAGACTGTTAAACGCGGCTGATCTGGAGGGACTGGCAAACCCGCACATAAACATAGTCAAACATTATAGTCTTTAATAATCTTCAACCTGCAATATATATATATATATATATATATATATATATATATATATATAGTGCATCTTACCTTGCACTAGTAGGTTCACAATTATGGTATCGAATCCTAGTGTGTTGGTGGCTGTGCAGGTGTAGTACCCAGAATCCTCTGCTTTTACCGAGCGCAACAACAGTGTCCCGTTTGCCAGAATGTTCCGCTGGCCATCCTGAGAGACGGGAATAGCAGTGTTCTCGCTGTGGGGGTCAAAGTAAAAATTATATTTTATATATATACATTTATATAAATATATACACACCACTATTGATGTCTTGTTGAGAGGTCTTGTAGTTTTCACACCATTACTATACAAAAGACCATTTGCTTACTATTATAAGACGAACAGTAGTATAGGGAAATGTGTGAGATATGGCTGGTATTTAGTTAAAAAATAAAAATATGCAATATCCAGAGTGATTGCTGCTTTTTAAAGTTGTTTTATATTGTAATATGGACAGAGCTTTTGAAATGAATGCAGAGATTGCTAATGAAAAACTAGACCTAAAACTGTAACTCACCTGTCTTTGGTCCATTTAATTGTGGGAGTTGGCTCCCCAACTGAACTACATGGCAGCCGTACCTCCTTCATCCATGGAGTGGTAACTGTACCTCCAAAAGATAGTATCTTAGCAGGAGCTAAGTGGGAGAGATAGAGAGGTAGATTAGAAGTTTAAATCTAGAACCATGAAGGATTCTTCA